CTTCAATTTAAATTCTAGAGCAGGGAATCAAACATATTTTTCTATAGTGAATAGATAGAAATTCAAAGTCACACATATTCATATAAATGAGACTCAAAATCATATCAAACACATAATCACATTTATAATAAAGATCAATTAGCATAATGCGGAACAGGGTTATCACAAAGGTTGTCCCGAAAAGTCGAAAACAAGGCTTTTAGTGACAAAATTTTAAAAATATCACTAATAAATAGACTTTCGGAGACAAAATAATTTGGTCTCAAAATGATTTTTTTTCTTTAGATAAAAAATTTGGTCCCAAAAGGATAATAATTCATCACTAATATTTTATTTTTGTTGCTAAAAATATAATAACTACACTTTTCGCAACAACAATATTTAGTCCCTAAAAAATAATTTTGTCCCTAAATTTTGATATCTAAAACCTTAATTTTTTGTAGTGTTCTCTTAAGTTTTCTCCAGCAAAATGCATATAACAAACTCAACTTCTCACATCTTAACTTATATATTGAATAGAATTAGATTAGGATTAATTTAAGGCTCTAATCATGTATTAGCTTAATTAATCACTACTTAATCATGATTAACAATTAACTTAATTAACCTATTAATCACAATTTAATCATTCTTAATTAATACTAATCTCACTTAAATTTTTGATTGAGTTCCTATTAGGTTCTTCACACTAAACTAAATCAATTAAACTTATCACTCAAAGGTTTCTGAGTCATATGGGTTATCAATTCCTGATTCAAATCAAAATCCCCTATCAAATAAATCACATACGAATCACACCACATACAATGCAAAAAAAAAAAATTAAAATTTTCTATAATTAAATTAATGCAAAATGATGTGCAAGGTGTGGTTATCACACTTGAAGGCTTAAATGTAACCATTCAAATACATACCAATATACATTCATATTACTACTTTATTATAGTACTATTCACTATGTTTTAACTCACCCATTTCCCTTATGTGTATGTAGGTGAAAAAGACTTGAAATGGAAGGTTTTGCCTCTTGAAGTTATATGTATATGTTAGTGAAGAAGAAGTAGTATTTACTATGCTCATGAAGTTGTACTTAGCTTTGGAAAAGATGCCCTCGTAGAAAATATATACTTCTTGTAAGAAAATTAATTAATGTAATAAAAAATGTTGCACGCTTTGTTTCATACAGGCATGCACTGCCCTTGATGGATGTTTCAGATAAGCAAACGACTTCCACAATTTAAAACAAATCTTGCCCCAATTATTACAAGAGTCTAACTTGTTTTGTTTAGTTAGGCCTTCGGTAGTCTGTGACTACTGGCCGATTACCACAATATCCCATTTGGGAGTGGGATGGGGTCATGACATGACTATGATATGTAACCTATTTATTCTTTGAAATGGGTTTCATTTGACAACTCAAGTAAGAAAACTTTATAAGATTTGTTAGTTTTTAAGGTGTTACTAAACTTTTACACAATAACAAAGTACACGTTCTTTTGTGTATTTTTGCACATTGTTTAGTTAATTTTTTTGTTCAAAAAGTTACCTTTCCAGGAGATGTCATGTTGTGAGCAAAGCTACGTAGTGCTATAACTGCTTGTTGCAACAATGTGATTGGTGCATATTAATGGGGCCTGGTACTTTACGTTAATGTTTATCCCAAGAAATATGTTTTTATTAGTATAAAATATAGCTCCAAAACATCAAAAAAAATTTCTCTTTCTACATGCATAATGAGTTGCATATGAGGGATTGTGCTACATAAATTAAAATACAATACTGTGTGTATTCTCTTTCTGCATAAACTTTTTATACAATCGGTGATCTAACAAAGCTAGCAAATTCAAAGCTATACATAGAAAGTGTTATCCATTAAAAGCTTTACTATGTTGGGGTGATGCTATGGTACATTTAGGTGTACCATATATTTAGTTATGAACTTATATGGATTTATATCATAACCTATACCATATTAGTCATAACTATCACCATATTAACTCATAACTTAGTTATATTCAATTATTTACTTATACCATATTACTTCAAAACCAGGTCATTAAAAGTGACCTGCTAAACAAGTCACTTTTTATAGTTATGAGCTAAAATCTTATTTCTTCATAACTATAATCAAATTGATCATAACTTAGCTATAACTACATCTCATAACCAACACCATTTTGTTCATAACTAATATCACATATTTCATAACCACATCTCATAACCAACACCATTTTAGTCATAACTAACATCACATATCTCATAACCAACACCACTTTGATCATAACAAATATCACATATCTCATAACTATTGATCACATATCTCGTAACCACATCTCATAATCAATCCCTTTGAGTCATAACCAACATCACATATCTCATAACCACTAGTCACATATCTCATAACCAATACCTTTTTGTCATAACTAATATCACATATCTCATAACCACTAATCACACATCTCATAACTACTACCCACATACATCATAACCACATCTCATAACCAATCCCTTTGAGTCATAACCAACATCACATATCTCATAATCACTAGTTACATATCTCGTAACCAACACCTTTTTGTCATGACCAATATTACATATTTCATAACCACTAATCACATATCTTATAATTAACACATTTTTGCTCATAACCACGTCACTTTGATCATAACCAACATCACATATCTCATAACTACTAGTAACATATCTAATAACCAATATCACATATCTCACAACCACTAGTCACATAACCAATATCTCATAACTCATAACCATTAATACATATAGCATAACCACACCATTTGACACCACTTTGCTCATAACCACTACCCACATATCTCATAACCACTAATACATATAGCATAACCAAATACCATTTGACACCACTTTGCTCATAACCATTACCCACATATCTCATAACTACTAACAGATATAGCATAACCAAATACCCTTTGACACCACTTTGCTCATAACCATTACTCACATATCGCATAACCACTCATAACTATTACCCATATATCTCATAACCACTAACACATGTAGCATAACCAAACACCTTTTGACACCACTTTGCTCATAACTATTACCCATATATCTCATAACCACTAACACGTATAGCATAACCAAATACCCTTTGACACCACTTTGCTCGTAACCATTAGCCACATATCTCATAACCACTAACACATGTAGCATAACCAAATACCCTTTGACACCACTTTGCTCATAACCATTACCCACATATCTCATAACCACTGACACATATAGTATAACCAAACACCCTTTGACACCACTTTACTCATAACCGTTACCCACATATCTCATAACCACTCATAACCATTACCCACATATCTCATAACCACTAACACATATAGCATAACCAAACACCTTTTGACACCACTTTGCTCATAACTATTACCCACATATCTCATAACCACTCATAACCATTACCCACATATCTCATAACGACAAACACATATAGCATCACCAAACACCTTTTGACACCACTTTGCTTACAACTATTACCCACATATCTCATAACCACTAACACGTATAGCATAACCAAATACCCTTTGACACCACTTTGCTCATAACCATTAGCCACATATCTCATAACAAACACCTTTTTGTCATAACCAATATCACATATTTCATAACCACATCTCATAACCAACACCATTTTAGTCATAACTAACATCACATATTTCATAATCATAATCACATATCTCATAACCAACACCTTTTTGTCATAACCAATATCACATATCTCATAACCACAAATACATAT